GCTGCTGACCCCTGTGGCTCCGGGGGGGCTGCTGACCCCTGTGGCTGCTTCAGTCAAACAGTAGATCAGGAAGTATGTTGAAAAGCTTTGGTCTGACATGAAGCCATGTGAGACAGAGTGGCAACAACACGTTATTGTATTTTATTTACAGGTGATAAAATAACCTATTAAAGACCTAAAACTCATATTTTTATATRAAACCTTTATTTTAACATGTAACTGAGAACCAGTTATCATTTAYAATGACCTGGTTGAGGTAACAGGACAACACAAAGTGTCAGAACAGGTTCAAACAAAGACACAACACAGAGTACAGTTAAAATGTGAAGGTGCTTTATGTTCACACACACAGTGATGAAATCTGTTAAACTTACTGTAACAATGGAAAATAAACAAATAAAATGAGATTTAAAAAAAACTAAAAACAAGTGATCTTTTCCAGCAGAATGTAGAGAACTTTTAAAGAGTTTGGAGAAATGAATGAAACAAGTTTTAAGGTTCGTTGATGGATCCAGTCATCTGCAGCACAGAACTGAAAAGAAGCACAACCAAAGGTGGTACGTGCTGTAAGGTTCAATTCAAATTCAAAAATACTTTATTCATCCCAGAGGGACATTTGGTTTGATTGATGAGGTCATTACTCCTGAGTCGTCACATATTGATGCTTTTCCACAGTTCCCTCTGCATCASATTGTGACACACCAGGTACCCCCCTTGTGTCATTTTTTATCGAAATGGGGCGAATCTGTTGTCATAATTTCAGAAAGTGTAGAAAATGTACAAATACTACCATCCCAAAGCCTAAAATGACCTTTATTCACTGTAGACATCCTGTCCCTGACCCCAGKACCCAAACTGAACCATTAATCCTGATCCCTCATGTTAACCTCAGACCCCCGACACAAAGACCCCTGGTGGTACAACCTAGAAAAGCCACGGGCATCAAGGACTGACGTGAGGGGATCACCTGACGTGAAGGCGTCACCTGACGTGAAGGCGTCACCTGACATGAGGGGGTCACCTGACGTGAGGGGGTCACCTGACGTGAGGGCGTCACCTGACGTGAGGGGGTCACCTGACATGAGGGGGTCACCTGACGTGAGGGGGTCACCTGACGTGAGGGGGTCACGTGACGTGAGGGGGTCACCTGACGTGAAGGCGTCACCTGATGTGAGGGGGTCACCTGACGTGAGGCGGTCACCTGACGCGAGGGGGTCACCTGACGCGAGGGGGTCACCTGACGTGAAGGCGTCACCTGACGCGAGGGGTCACCTGATGTGAGGGGGTCACCTGACGTGAAGGCGTCACGTGACGCGAGGGGGTCACCTGACATGAGGGGGTCACCTGACATGAGGGG